GAGAAGAGAGAGAGAGAGAGAGAAGAATGTGCTGCGTGTGAGTGAGTGATGTGTGTGTGTTGTTGTTGTGTGAGTTGAAGGTGTAAGCGTGTGTGTTTTGTGTGTGTTTGTCTGTGTGTGTGTGAGAGAGAGAGAGAATAAGAGTAGTGTTTGTGAATGTGTGGTGTTGTGTGTTGTCTGTGAGTGATTGAGTGTAAGTGTGTATGTGTGTGCGTGAGAGAGAGAGAGAGAAAGGATTGGGAGAGACGAGTGTGAGTGAGTGTGTGTGCTTTGTGTGAGTGTGTCTGCGTGCGTGTAGTGTGTGTATGTAGAGAGAGAGAGCGAGTGAATAAATAATAAAATAATATCAATGTTGTTTAGAAATGTTTTGGTAATGTAAAATAGGCTTGCAAAAAAATGGTAGTTTTTTATCATATGTATTTTATACAAATAAATATCTAGCTAAACTTACTGGTTTTATTTTTATATGTTTGAAATTGACATAGTTATACACTAACATAATTCTTTGTTTTATTACGTCACTTCTACGGTTTATTATTATTATTATTATTATTATTATTATTTCTTTTTGTTTTGTTTCGTTTTTTGTTATTATTCTTAAAACATAAAAAGGACATTTTTATGTGAATGCTTTACCAACAACAGACACTGATTAAAGAAAATACTACAAATTTACAAATATGCAATTTAACTGTATAAAGAATAATGTGTGCCAGGGTAAGTAAAGGAATAATATAGGCCTATCCACGTCACTTTATTAAGAGCTAAAAATCTTCACATTGTAAATTTGCTTCCAGATTATATGTAGTTGTGAAATGTAAATAACATTTAAGAAATATATAAAACAAACATACGTTAAGGTTGTCTAAGAAAAGGAATTATATACAATGCAGAATGAGATAGAAATCACATGTTCAATTTTCTCTTTATTATCTTTATCTATCCTTCTATCCTTTTATCAGCATTTACCTTCTTGTCGCTATTTATCCATTATTATATATATGCCTCCTTTTATTAGCTTTCATTTCTTTGTCTTCTTTTTATCTTTTTTTTTCTCGTCTTTTATTCGGTTTTATCCTTTTGCCTCCTTTTATCAGCTTTCATCTCTTTGTCTTCATTCTATCACTCCTGTCTATGCTTCCTTTTATCCTTATGTATCTCTTTGCCCTCCTTTTATCACATTTTCTTATCCACTATTATCTCTTTTTTCCTCTATCTCCTATATTTCCAAATTCTCTTCCATTTCTGAAGAATCGAACTCGGAACTTACGTGAAGCATGTATCCGGCGTCTATCTTCCTCCCTCCGTTCTTCGTTATCGAATTATCGTCTCTATTCCCTTCTTTATCTTCGTATTTACCGTCTTGTGTCTCTTTATCGTCTCCTGCTGAGGTTTCTGTGTCTTGAGATTCTTCTTTGGCTTCGGGATTGTTTACATTTGCTTCGGCCATTTTTCCCTCTCCTGATTTTTTCTCTGTTGCTTCAGAATGATTTTCGTTTGCTTCGGAATCCACGCTTGCTTCGGCGTTATTTTCCTCTCCGTTTGCATCAGAATTATTTTCACTTGCTTCGATATTCTCATTTGCTTCGGGATTTTCCTCATTTTCCTGCGACGCATTTTGTGATTCGCTTGTTTTGGGCGCGTCGCTGTCCGTCACATTTTCCTCTTCGTTTTCGTCACTTCCGTCTTTTCCTTGGCTCTCATGGACATCGCTTCGGGTACCGCTGTTCTTATCCTCCTCGTCTGTGTTATTCCCATCTTATCATATCCTCCTACATCCTTATCTACGGATTTTTTCATCCTACTCCCGGCATCGAAAACCTCCTCGATACCGGCCACTCCGTTTTCTATGCCGTGCAAGTCGAGTTCTTCATCTACTATTTCGGATGAATCGACTTCCATATCCACTGATAGGAGACTGGGTCTGTATAATCTACGGCCATTATTTACACCTTCTTCGCCTGCTTCTTCGTTTATCAGATTCCCTTTCGAAATGCCTTGGATTTCTTCGTTAGTCCCGAGGTTTGTAGGCATCGTCAAGGAATCGCTTTCTGGTTCAGTTACCCCTTCAATATCTTGAGCTCCGTTTTCCTTGTATTGAGAATCGTCTACTTGAGCTGTAGCGTCTCTTGTTTCTTGTTTTTGTCTTTTTATTCTGCTTTCTTCCTTGATTTTATCGTTCTTCTTTGCTTTATTGGTCTTTCCTTTTAGTGCCTCTTCTTCCTGAAGTTTCTTCTTGGTTTCTTTCTCTTTCCTCTTTCGTTCTTCTTTGCCTTCCACTCCGCGATTTTTACCATTCTGAACCTTCCTCGCGTGTTCTTTATCCTTGTTCTTCGCCCTTTTGCTCTCCTTTGTCCTCTTCGCTCCGTATTTATTCTCCTTTGTCTTCTTCCCTCCGTGTTTATTCACTCTTCCCTTCCCCCTGCTAGATTTTGCCTCCTTTATCTCTCCCTTTCCTCTCCTCTCTTTTATCTCATTACTCTCTCTCTTCTTTCTCCGGTGTTTTCTCTCCCGTGTGACGCAGACTTTCGGCTTTCCACGGATTTATCATATTTTCCTTCCTGTGTCTGTTTTCTGTGTCCTGTCAACCGCGTCCGTCTGTCTTCACTCCGCGTCCTGGACGATAGGGGGGGGGGGGGGTAATGGTTTGACGTTAATGCTCTCTCGCTCTCTACGTCTTAGAAATGAAATTTATGGTAGAATATTGGTATTTTTGTTAATGGGCTGGGTCTCTATCTTATATAGTCGAGTCTATCTTCTACTTCTGCCTGAATCCCCGGGCTCTCTCTCTCGATTCCCTCTCTCTGCTCCCTCTCTCTCTCCTCTCTGTCATCTCTGTACTGCTCTCTCTCGTCTTTTACTTGTCTTTTTTTCTCTACGCCGAGTGCTCGTTTTTTTCTCTTCGTCTCTCTACCTTCTCTAACCTAGCCCCCCTCTCTCTCTCTCTCTCGATCTCTCTTCTCTCGTTAGGTGTGCTCTCTTCGTCTTCTCTCTCTCCATCTCGTCATCTCTCTCGTTCCCTTCATCTTCTCTTCTCTTTCTCTTGCCTTCGCATCTCTCTTTCCAGTCTTTCTTTCCCATCCGTCTCTCCACGATCATCTCCATCTTCCATCCATCCTCTCGTCGCCCATACTCTCTCATCACCATCCTCTCCTGCTCGGCCGTTCACTCATCTCTATCTCACAACCCTCCTTTCTCACAACCTCCATCCCGTACTGCTAATCGCCACCATTTCTATCTCCCATCTCTATCTTCTCTGCCGCGCTCATCACATCATCTGTCCTATAGCTCTCCAAGACATCTCTCTCAGCTCTCAATACTCTACTGACTCCGAGCCGTCTCTCTTCTTGCATATACCCAGCCATCTCTCTCTTTACCACCCCGGTCATTTTTTCTACTGCTCAAATCTCCTATTCTTCCTCTCTCTCTACCACCTTCCCTCACTCTCTCCTCTATCCCCTCCCTTCTATCCCTACTCATCTCACTCTCTCTCCCTCACATCTCTCTCATCCCTTCCTCTCTCCTCTCTCGTCCTTCCCCTTTTCTCTTATCTTATGCCCCTACACACTCTTCTCTGCCTCTATCTCTTCTTCTCTCCTCTCCATCCTCCTCTCATTCTCTCTAGTCTCTCTCCAATCTAACCGCATCTCTCTCTTCGTCTCCTATCTCTCTCTCAGTCATCTCTCTCTCTCATCATCTTTACCTCTCTCTACCCTAACCTTCTCTACCCTTCTCTACATTCTTCATACGCAGAGTTGTGTCGCTCGTGGGTTCACTCTGGGCTCGATCGTCTCTCCCTAACCTTTCTCTACTCTCCGGTCCTGCATCGCGTCTCTCTACCTTCCTCCTCTCGTCTCATCACTATCCGCTGTCCTCTCCTCTGCTCCATAGACCTCTCCTCTCTCCGCATATCCTTCGTAGTCTCTCCTCCCTCTCTCATCTCATATCTCTGCCTAGATTGTTTGCCTGCTTGAGTCCGGTCTCTGCGTCCCTTCCGCCATCTCATAATAATTCATCTGTCGTCTCAGTCCCAATCGTCTCCCGTGCGACATTATCCTTAATAATCTTTTCCTCCTCTCTCTCTCTACTCCTCATCCTATAAATACGATCATCCAAATACTCTGTGACAAAGTCTCTTGAAATACCCATACCTCTACGTATCTCGTGGCCCTTCAGCCGCCTAGTCGTCTTCCATCTCGCTCTTGATATTCCTTATCATCCTCATCGAAAGCTTACCGTCTCCATGGCTCGTCCCTCTCTTTCTATTCTGTTATTGTCTTGTCATCCTTATTCATTTCCCTCCTCTCTATCTCACCATCTCTCTCTATGGGCCATTCCTGCAGAATTCCCACACTGTCTTCTCCTACTGCCTCAGGAGCTCTCCTACCTCCCTCGTCTACTCTCTCCTCTCTCTATCCGTTTCCTCTCTGCTCTATATTTGGTATTTACTGTCTACTCGTTATCACCAATTACATTGAAAGAAAATGTATTGCATTAAGCTATAATATATAATTATGGATGCTCGCATGAGGCTCAGGCTGTCCTGTGCTTTATATGCTGCTGTTAAAGCTAAAGGGTGGCACTGGTCTTTATGAAGAGTGTTGTGGATATCTGCATGTATTACTTACGGACCAATACTGATGATTATGCTATGTGTTGTGTTGTGTGTGGTGGTTGGTGGGTGGTGTGGTGTTCCTTGTTTATTATATATATATATAATATATAATCACTTCTCTTCTCTGACATTTACTTTTCATCTCCCTCATTCTACCTCTCACTCTCCCTCTCTCTCTCTCTCTCTCGAGTTCTACTCTCTCTCTCTCTCTCGCTCATAATGTTAACTCTAAAATTAAAATAACTTCACAATTAATTTACTGCTAATAGTTATGACTCAAGTGAAACCTAAAAGCTTTTTTCGCTAAGAATATTAATAAACGATATTGACTATTGGATTAATGTCTTATATATATTTTTTGCAGTGGTCTGAGGCCTATCCTCACGTGGAGGCTCGTATAGTCACGAGGTGAAAAAGACAATATATTGCTTATAGCTATTAATATATCATTTATTTATGATATATATAGTACACACTAACTACTACACACAACACCACACTAAACACACATCACACACACAACATATATATATAATATTATATTATATATATATATATTTATATATATATATATATATGGTATGTAAATAATGATTAATATATATATATATATATATATTATATATATATAATATATATATATATAATAGTATTATAAAACTATATATATACATTACATAATATACATATGTATGTATATATGTATATATATATATATAAATTATATGTACATAGTTATTATATATATATTATATATATATATATATATAATTAAAATATATATGTATATATATATATATATATAGTGTGGTATGTGTGATATATTTATATATATATATTGTATAGAAATATATATATATATATATATATATATATTATATGTGTATATATATTATATGCAACAAAATATATTCAGACATTAAATAAAGTTCTCTCTCTCTCTCTCTCTCTCTCTCTCTCTCTCTCTCTCTCTCTCTCTCTCTCTCTCCTCTCTCTTCTCTCTCTTCTCTCTCTCTCTCTCTCTCTCTCTCTCTCTCTCTCTCTCTCTCTCTCTCTCTCTCTTCTCTCTCTCTCTCTCTCTCTCTCTCTCTCTCTCTCTCTCTCTCTCTCTCTCTCTCTCTCTCTCTCTCTCTCTCTCTCTCTCTCTCTCTCTCTCTCTCTCTCTCCCTCTCTCTCTCTCTCTCCCTCCCTCCCTCTCTCTCTCTCTCTCTCTCTCTCTCTCTCTCTCTCTCCTGCTCCTCTCTCTCCCTCTCTCTCTCTTTCTCTCTCTCCTCTCTCTATCTCTCTCTCTCTCTCTCTATCTCTCTCTCTCTATCTCTCTCTCTATCTGTCTCTCTCTCTCTTCTCCTGTCTCTCCTCTCTCCCCTTACCGTCAACTCAAGACTCCAGTCCCTAGAATCTCCTCTTTGTCTAGCAGCTTTTCGTGAGATCCTTTGCCTCCGGTCTTAGAATAAATAAATAAATATATCAATAAAAATAGATAATCACGATAATGCAATGATATAAGATTCCGTGAATTAATAACATTGATTTGATAATGACAAAGATATAATGATTCCATTAAAAAAATACATAGTATCATATATATATACTATATATATATATATATATATATATATAATAATAATCACACACTGGTATAATATATAATTATATATAATATATATATATATATATATATATTATATATACAGCTTAGTATATATAATATATATATATATATATATATATATATATATATATATATATATATATATATTATATATATATATATATATATAATATATATATATATATATATAATATATATATATAATATAATATGTATATAATATTAATATTATGTATATTATAATATACATATATATGTATATATGTATATATACTATATTATATATATATATATATTAGTATTATATATGTATGTATGTATGTATAATATGTGAAATATGTATATATAATATATATATATATATATATTAAAAGAAAAAAAAAAAAACATAAAATACCCGGATTCTAGTCAAAAATTTCATATATGGTTGTAATACTTTCGCAGGTTCTAGTTAAAAAAAGTACGTCACTTGCACACACTAGATCATTTCATGTGTAGAATAACATCATTTTTCGTCGGAATTCACTATATTTTCTATTATTTTGAGGACAGACGGTAGGAATAAGAAAACAGCAAAATACTAAATCGTGGTTTGAGATTGAGGTCCTGTGGTACTCAGTCACGGCAAATAGCAGCATACGAAGCTTAACTGTAATACCATTAAATCTATCGATGTTTCATTCGCATTATATCCTGCACATAGATATAGAGCTTGAAAGTGCTTTTATTCCACGTAATGAATATTCCTTAGCCGTTCGAATTTTGATAGATTAATTTGGGGACCCAGTTCATTTAATGTGAAAAGAAACACGCGCGTCTGCCAACTAATAAGACTATTTATTACAGGTTATTTGGTGTTTAGCTCTTAATGATAACCGAGTGAGTTAAATGCGAATATTTAAGATAGCAAGCAAGATGGTAGGAACGTACATAGAGAAGTGAAGGAATTATAAATGGACACGTGGCTAGAAGAATAGAAACATATGTGAGACAGTTTATAAGCCATTTCTATTTGTTTCTATTTGAAACATTTTCTGCAAGGCATGACCGTGCTATTTTACCCCCCCCCCCCGCGCCCCTTAAAAATAATGGAAACGCCCACAAGCCTTTTAAACAAAATCAAGCACACTTACCAGCTTCGGCTGTGCATAAACAACCACAACCACCACAACCAACGCGCTAACAGCCACTCCTCTCATGGCGACCACCACTTCCGCCTCCCTCTGGCCGTCTCGTCGAGGCTGTAGAATTATTCCTTATTTCACTCCGTTTC